TTTTTTTTTTCCGGAACGATAGAAATCAACTTTCAAATCAAAATCAAAAGAATCGAGTAACTAACCACACACCAAATCAAAGCATCTCTATATAAATCCCCCTCAAAATTATCATATCATCATCCATTATCCATAAGAAAAACAAACACACACAAAAAAAAAAGGAATAAAAATTTTCCAGAAAATGGGCTCACGCTACGAGGTCGAAGTCACCGTGACCTCCGCCGAGAACCTCAAGAACGTTAACTGGCGCCACGGCAAGCTCCGCCCCTACGCCGTCGTCTGGGTCGACCCCGCCGCCGCCAAGCGCTCCACCCGCGTCGACGAGGACGGCGATATCTCCCCCCGCTGGGGCGACAGGCTCCTCATCCCCTTCGACTCCCCGATCGAGGACTCCTCCCTCTGCGTCGACGTCGTCCACGCCGACGCCGCCGAGGACACCAAGCCGCTCATCGGATCCGCCAGGCTCCGCCTCCGCGACCTCGTCGAAGACGCCGGCCTCGGCGTCGCTGCCGAGAGGAGACTCGAGCTGAAGCGCCCCTCCGGCCGGCCACAGGGGAAGCTCGAGGTCAGGGTCTCCGTCCGGGAGCCGCCGCGGTACCCCGCGCCGGATCCGTACCACGCGCCGCCGTACGGCGTGCCTCCGCCGGGGACCAGGGAGTACTATTCGCCGCCGCCGTACGGTGGCCCCTACGGCGGGCCTCCGGCCTATGCGGCCCCTCCGGCAGGTTATCCTGGCGCGTACGGCGCACCACCGCCGATCTACGGTCAGCCGGCGTACGGTCAGGGCGGGTACTACGTGCAGGACGGGTACAGCGGGCAGCAGCAGGGGTATGGGGAGGAGCACAAGAAAAGCAAGTTCGGAGGGATGGGTACGGGATTGGCTGTGGGTGCGGTCGCAGGGGCATTGGGTGGACTCGCGCTGGCGGAGGGTGTGGATGCGCTGGAGGACAAGATTGCTGATGACGTGGCGGATCGGGTGGAGGACGATTTGGGTTACGATGGGGATGACTTTTAGTGTGTCGAATGAGTTTGGCACCGGATTGATTTTATGTTTTTACTTTGAGTCATTACCTAAAAAAAAAATAATTAATAATGATGAAAAAGAGAAATAAAATGTATTGACTTGATCACGAAACTTTTGACTGTGTTGTAATAAAGCGAGTTTAATTTTGTGATGTGATCTATAAACATGAAATTTTAATTAGTGTTTTTGTTTTTGCAAACAAAAAAAAAAAAAAAAA